GCAAGAAAACTTTCTTGTTTACCTAATTTTTTGATCTTAAAGATCTGATTGTCAACTAGCTTTCTTCTGGAAAGGGAAAGGGCATAAATCACATTGCATTCATACTACACTAGGATTGAAAAAGAAATTTGAACCTTCATAGCAACTAATTCGATGGAAAAGCATAAAGGACATGAATCGATAATTATCGTTCACATTTAAATTTGATCATGCCAGCACGTGAAAGTTAATCCACACGCAATTCCATGTGCCTAGCTGTCGAATATAAGAATTCTTGCATGGTCACTCATTTCTTAATTGTATTCGATTAAAAAATCTTGCATGGTCATTTTTCACCAGTATTCGAGTATTTATACAAATGTAAAAAAAAAAAAAAATTATATATTATATGTGTGCATATGTGTATGTAATATTTAAAGTTATAAGATAATAAGCATATCACATTTTATATATTTTACTATTAGTAAAAGTGAATGATATAAATATAAACTATTTAACTTTTCACATTAATTTTTATATTGATTGAAATAATACAATTTATGAAAACTTAGCTGATTATGACAAGTATATAAAACAAATAGATAGATTGATTTTGCAAAATGAAGTAAAATAAAATATGCGAATAAAAGATAAAAAATATATTTTTAAAAACATTACATCCCAGTTGTCACGATATTAATTTTTGGGCCGAAATTATGGTGTCAAATGATCAGTTATTCTTGATTTGTTTTGTCACAATAAGTAATGAACATTAGAAAAGGTACAACAGCTAAGGTGGAAATAAGAAAACTGAATTTGCTAATGGTAGTAACATGTAATTTAAATTTAAAATCAATAATAATAATAATAATAATAATAATAATAATAATAATAATAATAATAATAATAATAATAATAATAAGAAATATATACGAATATATGTTCAAAATGTTACAAAAATATTGTAAAATTGATGAATCAAAGATAAATAAAAACCGTAAATTAAGGTGTCAACTCGTTTTTTATTTTTCCACATGAAAAATATTACATTAAAAAGATGTGCAACAATTTTGTGGACAATATGACTTTCAAAATAATAACAATATGTTATGGAATGATTTATGTTGGGTATTTAGTTGATTGACCAATACTTATTTTTTGTTTATTTTATTATATATATATATATATTAATTAGTTATACATTTTTTTTGTTACAATGCATCTGCACATTTCAGTTAAAAAAGATTACTGTAGATTCTTTTTTTATTATTTGTTATCTAATTGATTTTGAATGGTTTGTAATGTGATAATATTACTTTATAATTCCTTTACACCTTTCCATAACATAAAAGAAAAATATAAAAGTAAAAGATCAAATTTTTATTAAATTAAATTTCTCTAATTAAAATTGCTATTATATAATTTTAACCAAGAACTATAAAAGAAAATATAGGTTAAGTTGAATGACATTGATTGTATCGTTTAGATAATGGTGGAATAAAGTGAAAAGAAAAAAATATTAGTGATAGAATTGTATAATCTGAATTTGAGGGAAACTCAAATAATTTTATTAAATGTTTTTCTCTTAATTATATATATAAAGATTTTGAGATTATAATGTAGTTTTTTTTAATCAATGACAATTATAATTCTGATTGAATTTGAAATACAAGACAAGTGAATTTAACAGTTAGGTGGTGCATTTTTTTAATATAAATACATATTTATGATATGAAATATCATACTTTTATTTATTTTATTTCTTAGATATTATTATTTTAAATTAAAAAAATGCATATTCTTTAAAAAAAAAATACAACTCTGTATATTTATTATGTACCTGTAGCATTTTTCAAATAAAAAATCAATTGGACCCCACCCTATGTGAGTGTTATGTACACCTCTATGTACATTTATTATGTATTTATAGCATTTTTCTATTAAAACATACTAGTACAGAGCCCGTGCCATGCACGGGGTGCACAATTTTAAGGCTATTTATCCAGACTTATAATTATATACATGAATAAAGAAAAATATACGGGATATATATAGTACGTGACCCGTGTGAAACACGAGATATATTTATTTGGAGAATATTATATTATAAGATGCAATATTCAATAAAAGTTTATAATACGCAAGAAAATTGTACAATGTTCAATAAAAGTTTTATAATATTCAAGTGGAGTCTTAAAGTCTCTTGTACATTAAGACTACTGACAAAATAATATTTTAATCAATGAGTTTCCTTTCCTTGTAGCCAAATTGTGAATGTGATTTGAGGAGTACAACAAATCGATATATAGCTGACTTGCTTTTTTCATTGTAGTTTTTTTTCTTTTTTTTATAATGAATTTAAAGATATTCTAAAATATAGCAAAAATTAATTTTTTTATTACAATTAGGAATTTTACTAAATATAGACTCTCAATCTATGGTGTTAATCAACGTTTAAGGCTAAAAAACAATAGAGTTATTATAAGTTTTTTTCTACATCTTTTAAAATATTAAATATGAGCATGTTAGAGCTAGCTTGTAAAATAATTAATATATTATCTCACTAAAACATTTATACTAATAAAAATTTAATTTTAGCATATAAATTTAGCCCTTGATATAAGAGAAAGTAACAGTTTTACTTATTGTTGTTCACCATATAATATTTAATTATTATTTTATTATATAATAAAAAATAAATATTGTTAAATAGTGTAGTAGAATTGTTATAAAATTATATGATTTTTTTTTACAATATGGATTTAATATTTTTTTATGATTTGATAATATAAACAAAATTTATACTTAACTTTGACAAATAAAACAAATAAATACTTTAGTAAGTATTTAATGTATATACTAAATAGGAATATATTTGGTATAATCAAATTCCAAATATAATCAAATAAGTCAAAGTGTACATTTTTATTTGGTATTTGATTTTTTTATTATTAAAATCTTTTTATTATACTTACCTTTTTAAAATAAAACAAATAAATAAATCAATTAAATAAATAAAATATTATAATACCAAAATAATAATGGCATTTAATGCAGTTGACTTTTCTGGATAATAAATGTAGTAAATAGAATCTCCTTTTATATAAGTATATATATGATATTACTAGTACAGAGCCCGTGCGATGTACGGGGTGTACAATTTTAAGGCTATTTATCTAGGCTTATAATTATATACATGAATAAAGAAAAATATACGGAATATATATAGTACGTGACCCTATATTTATTTGGAGAATTTTATATTATAAGATGCAATATTCAATAAAAGTTTATAATACACAAGAAAATTGTACAATGTTCAATAAAAGTTTTATAATATTCAAGTGAAGTCTTAAAGTCTCTTGTACATTAAGACTACCGACAAAATAATATTTTAATCAATGAGTTTCCTTTCTTATGTAGCCAAATTGTGAATGTGATTTGAGGAGTACAACAAATCGATATATAGCTGACTTGATTTTTTCATTGTAGTTTTTTTTTCTTTTTTTTTTTATAATGGATTTAAAGATATTCTAAAATATAGCAAAAATTATTTTTTTTTTATTACAATTAGGAATGTACTAAATATAAACTCTCAATCTATGGTGTTAATCAACGTTTAAGTCTAAAAAACAATAAAGTTATTATAAGTTTTTTTTCTACATCTTTTAAAACATTAAATATGAGCATGTTAGGGTTAGCTTGTAAAATAATTAATATATTATCTCACTAAAACATTTATACTAATAAAAATTTAATTTTAGCATATAAATTTATCCCTTGATATAAGAGAAAGTAACAGTTTTACTTATTGTTGTTCACCATATAATATTTAATTATTATTTTATTATATAATAAAAAAGAAATATTGTTAAATAGTGTAGTAGAATTGTTATAAAATTATATGATTTTTTTTTTGTACAATACGGATTTAATATTTTTTTATGATTTGATAATATAAACAAATCTATACTTAACTTTGACAAATAAAACAAATAAATACTTTAGTAAGTATTTAATGTATATACTAAATAGGAATATATTTGGTACAATCAAATACCAAATATAATCAAATAAGTCAAAGTGTACATTTTTATTTGGTATTTGATTTTTTTATTATTAAAATCTTTTTATTATTTTTTTAAAATAAAAAAAATAAATCAATCAATTAAATAAATAAAATATTATAATACCAAAATAGTAATGTCATTTAATGCAGTTGACTTTTCTGGATAGTAAATGTAGTAAATAGAATCTCTTTTTATATAAGTATAGATTGTATAATACGAAAATAGTAATGCAATAAATGTTGTTGACTTTTCTTTATACTAAATTTGGTAAACGGTATACCTTTTAATATAAGTATAGATATTATATTGCTCAAAATAGTAATGCATTTATTGCATTGACTTTTCAACTTACTAAATTTCGTAAATGGTACACCTTATTATATAAGTATAGATAGGCAAAACAATTATTATGGCCCTGTCAAAATAAATTCTGCTTTCATGATGTTAAAATCTTTTATTCATCTAGCACTAATCAAAACTCAATTAAAGTTGAAAGGAAAAGAGAATTATATGATGAAGTATAAAACATGCAGTAAGGACCACGTCTTTCAAATTACAATGTAATATTATAAAAAAATAACATTAACAAAATTATGGCATTTTAAAATATTGATTTTGTTACAAATTATGTTATGACATGTTGACCCAATTATTAGTTATGCCCGTTACACAAGAATTTATGTAAATGATTTGGCTCAAAGAAAATGAATATTTGCCATTGTACCAAGAAAATATTTTAAGCTCATAATTGCACACTAACATGGTAACTTGGTAAGGCAGTCTACATTCCACTATTATATGATTTGTATAATCTTATCATTTTTATCCTATTATGATTTGTATATCTCATCATTTTTATCCAAAATCCAAATATTCCATAATTAAGTCCCTCGCGTACAGATGGAATTATGGAAATTTTGGTAAAATATATCTTTTCGAAATAGGCATAAACTTGGAGTTACTATGAAACGTCGTCGCTTCATTCTCCTTGTACTTCTCACTCTCTTACTCAACCATCTCAAGTCTCAACTATGGTAAAAGCCGCGAAAATATCAAATACGACGACGTTTTCTGCCTACTCTCCGCTCTCGAGTTGAAACCCGTCGCAAGTGCTTACTGCGAAATCTGATACGCTAAACTCCGGCAATGTCATCTCCGCCGTCTCCGCCGCTCGGGGCTGCTCCGCCTCAAACTTCGCCACCGTCTCCTCCTCTGGGGGCTGCTGCTCCGATCCCGGCATCGCCGGCGCCGCCGCTCGGCCCACCGTCTCCCGTTGTTCTGCTGTTCCCGCCGCCTACTCTCCAGGACGGCACTCCGCCGGCGGCGGCCGGCGGGTCTTTCCCGAGGTCAGGCAACAACAGGACATTGTTGGCGCTGGGAGTGGGGATAGGTATTGGCGGGGCTATTGTGCTGGTTTGCGTGGGCATTTTCGTCATTTTGTACAGGAGGAAGAGGAAGCGTCTTGAAAAGGACGAACTTGCTTATGCTCCTCGCCAATCGCGGGGTCCTAAAGGTTGATTTATTTTTTAAATATCCAAATGTTAAATGAATCAGTGTACAGTCAATTTTTGTTTCTGTCTCTGTTTTTCAAATATTTTTTTTTGGTCTTCTTTTCCATCTTCTAATGGTGCAACATGTCAAAGAGAAACAAGTACCAAGGGATTAATTGTGATATGTAATGGCAACTGGGTTTGTTCTTTAGGGATATGTGGCTTAATGAGTAATTCATAATTTCAGTACATTTTTGTTTCCAATCACATTTTCTTTATCTTGTTTCTTTTCAGCATATGTATGTTGATTTTACTAATACATTCAGTTCGATATAACATTTTTGCCTTTATAGACGACCCAGAACAGCCTAAACCACCACCATCAAGTTGTGATCTCATTGGACTGGCAAAGCCTACTACTAATTCCCACCCTAAAACTGGAGTACCTTGCACAAAAACTACCTTCACATACGAAGAACTCGCACTTGCAACCGACAATTTCTCAGGCATCAACCTGCTAGGTCAAGGTGGGTTTGGATATGTTCATAAGGGAGTTCTTTCTGATGGAAAAGTGGTCGCGATTAAGCAATTGAAGGTTGGGAGTGGTCAAGGAGAACGTGAGTTTCAGGCAGAGGTCGAGACCATAAGTCGTGTTAATCATAAGCATTTAGTGTCACTGGTTGGGCACTGCATTTCAGGGACTCAAAGATTATTGGTATATGAATATGTTTCGAATCGAACCTTGGAATTTCATTTACATGGTAAGTCCGAACGGGTTTTTATTTGATAATTTTGTTGATGATTGACACAACATGAAGTTTTAGCTACTTGCATGGCTGTAAATCATGTTTAGGGTGGTTTACTTCTATTTATCTAAAGCCATGATTCAATTTGAAAATAAAAAATTCATACATTGTTCAAGTTCATTCTCTTATTTAAAATTTGTCTTATCAGAGTGTAAAATGATGCAGGGAAGGGAAGGCCTTCTGTAAACTGGGCCACTAGGATGAAAATTGCCATGGGCTCTGCAAAAGGATTAGCATATTTGCACGAAGACTGTGAGTCATGCCCTCTTTGTCTTTGTTATGAACTTGATGGCTGTGCTGTTATTCTTTAAAAGTGCAATCACATCAAAATTCAATGACTTATGCAGGTCAGCCTAAGATAATACATCGTGATATCAAGTCTGCTAACATTCTTCTTGATGATAATTTTGAGGCAAAGGTGTGTACCAATATTTGGAACATTGTTGTTGTCCTCACGAATATGCTCTCTCTCTTTCTTTCTCTCTCTCTCTCTCTCTCTCTCTTTCTCTCATCTCTTTGATTATACGGCATGTAACTATAAAGAGGTAGCAGTAGAAAAAGAATCAACAATTGCAAGGAGTTGTCTGCTTCCTATGTACTCACATCAAACTTTGACAAACAAATATTTAACTCAACTTAATTCCATTGAGTGGTGCAACTTCATTTAGTGGAAGAAAGTCAAACATAGGCTCGGTTTGTGGCTAACGGTGATCTGCAAAATATTGGATTTAATGGAATTTGGGATTTCAAACTATTTGGAGACTAGAAGTAAAAAGGTTAACTTGGCTTGATTTAAGCTTCTGAAGATATATCAAATTGCTGGAAATGACTATTAAAGAAATTAACATGTTGTGTGAATATCAATTCTATTGAATTGATATTAACATGTTGTGTAAGGATTGGCAATATCTATTGGTTGAGCGAATATCAACTCTATTGAATTTTATTAAAATCAGTTTGAGTTTCTATCCTATGAAGAAAAGCCGTCTTGGCGTGGTGTTTGAAATATTAAATTGGCCAAATTTGTCAAGATCTTTCTGTTTTACTATGACAGCTTGTGATTCAAATCCGATATTTACAACACTGAATTTTAATCATTCTGGGCATTTTAAACCAGGTTGCTGATTTTGGGCTTGCAAGGCTCTATTCAGAGACGGATACTCATGTATCAACTCGGGTAATGGGAACTTTTGGGTAAGATACTGCAGATCTGCTATCTAATTTTCCTCCATATTGTGATTTATGCTGCTAAGCAAAGGCGAATTGTTTACTTCAAAAAGATATTTTTGCCAAAGGCTATTATCAAAATTTATTACATATCATATGTTAATTATAATGCGAGCTAATTCTCCCTTTACTACTTTTTACAGTTATTTAGCTCCGGAATATGCTCTTACTGGAAAGCTGACTGATAAGTCAGATGTCTTCTCATTTGGAGTTGTACTGTTGGAGTTAATCACTGGACGCCGGCCGATTGATAAATCACAAAACTACCTTGATGATAACATCATTGATTGGGTGAGGAATGGAATAAGTCATTAACTACTACTGTGCTATTTAACAACTGAAGAAGTAATGGAATGGAAAAAACATGTATATTTTCTTTAGTTGTTTTTCACTCGTGCCCACGAGAAATTGGTTTTGCTAATCCATATCAAATGTAAGAAAAGCTGAGACAGGAAAGATCTTAGAAGCAACTAACCAACATTAAATTCGTATCAACTTCGGATTTCACATGACATCTGAACGAGTGCGGAAATAAGATTTGAGCTTTTCAATAGGAGAATTTCATGAGCATATTTATGAGTTGACTAAATAAAACACAAGTACTCATAACATTTACGAGCCCTCTTCATTTCAATGTTATTTACTTCATTTTTTTTTTCTCAGATGGAATTTAATTTATTTTTCTACACCAATACAGGCAAGGCCTTTGCTTACGCAGGCTTTGGAAAATAACAACTTCGATGGTGTGGCTGATCCAAAGTTGCAGAAGGATTATAACTCCATTGAGATGGCTCGGATGGTTGCTTGTGCTTCTGTCTGTGTGCGCCATTTGGCTCGACGTAGGCCACGAATGAGTCAGGTACATCTATTTATTTATTTACTTATTTCCGCTTTGCTGTCATAAATACATCCCCATGGCCTTGCAACTGCCAATATTTAAATTCCATCGAGTTACTCATGAATACTCGATCAAAGTACACCAATTTACACAAAAAAATCGAATTATCTTTCGGAATTACAAACACACCAATTTTTTTTAGTCTAGTGAATACTCAATTCACAAAATTGCAGCTTATCGAAACAAATGTCAATAGGTAGTTGCAGTTTGAAAACAAGATAGTTTTTTTCTTTCTTAACTCTGATGATGATCTTGTAGTTTACTCCAAAATCTTATCACAAAATCGAAACAATTCAAGTTACACAAAGCTTGACCCCTCGTGCAGATAATCCGTGCTCTAGAAGGAAGTTTAGCTTTGGAAGAACTAAAAGAGGGTTCTCATCCTGGAGACAGTGGAACATACGATTCGTACGGAAGCTCGGATTACGATGCCTCTTACGACACCATGCATTACAAAGAGGATTTGCTGAAATTTAGAAAGATGGCCTTTGAAAGCCTCGAGAACAACACAAGTGAGTATAGTGTCCCCACTAGCGATTTTGGCCGCCAGCCATCTGGCTCGAGTAGCGAGGTTCTTCCAACTTAATCAATAGAGGAGAAAATGATTTGAGTTGATGGGGTTTTGTATATTTCTTTATTTTTGAGTATAACATTAGGAATTAAGTTGATTGTAGCTAGCTTATTCTGAATTATTCTGCTGTTTATATTACGTTTTGATCATTCTTTTTTTCATTATCTTTGGCTGCTTTCATGGAAATCTCCTCCTCAACCCATTGAGGCACGTCTTGATTTGAAGATAGTTTTTTGGTAATGGAAATGTTTCTATGAACTTTGCTTGTATTTTAAGAGTTAGAAGTATGTGGATTTACAATTCCTTAGACAAACTTGATAATTACTTTATTCCTTAATTTTTATTGTTAACTGATTGGTTTAGAATATTTGCTAATAACTAATGAAAGTAAATTTTTCAGTAACAACCTTTCAATCAATAAATAATATTCTAACTATTCCATCCGTCAATTATCTCTATGGGAATGAAAAAAACTTTACCTTGCTACTAAAAAGAAGTCTTTATTTAACAATTTTATTTAAAAAAAAAAATAATCTGAAAACCTTTACGAACCCTATCTATTTAATTGGGTTATAGTTACATGCAGTAAGCATATATTAATTTCCATTTTCTTCTATTTATTCATTTCACTTTATCCTTTATACTTGCTCATATTTTTTAATATAGTTTTTTAATTAAAAATTAGTCATTATTATATATTTATCTATAGAATTTAGTCAATTTACTATTCATTCCTCCACTAATATATATCTATAACCATCGTTCATATTTTACCATTTCTTGTCGCAATTAATTATTATTTTTCATAAAAAAAAGTGAAATAAAAGGAATTAAATTGAATGAATACAAAAATAAAATAAATAAAAAAATTGATATCCATTTTTTTTAATGGCGAATTTTTATCTTTACTTTTTTCTTATTTTAAATGGTGAATTTAAACTATTTCTTGTAGCTTTCTCAAAAGTCGCCAACGCTTTTGTGGCATCGGATTCTTTACAACGGTCTGCAAAACGGTGTTTATTTACATTATTACCCTGCTTCCGATCAAACGTGACGTTACACTCGCTTCTCTTTATAATAACTAGTGAGGGCTAAATGCAGAAATCAAGCTCTCGACATTTTCCGTCACTGTTAGGGTTTCGAGAATCTTAAAATGGAGTTGCCGGAAGAATCACGACCGCCGCTAGAGGAAATCGAGCCGCCGCCGCTCGAGGACGCCGGCCTCGAGGACTGCGCGCTGCCGCCGGAGTCCATCATGGAGGCGTTCCTGATAGCCGCGTCCGCCGCCGGATCGGTCGTCCCCTCATCCGACGAGGACGAGCCCGGGGACCTCGACGGCGGAGATCGGCGGGAGGATCTATCCGAAGACGTCCCCGCAGGGAAAGAAGAAGGCGCCGCCGCCGAGGATGGCGACGAGCTGGTGGAGGTATTTGCAGAGAAGGCGTCGGTTAGCGGCGGCGGCTGCTATTTGGGAGGCGAATCGGGTGCGACGGTGGGACCCGGCTCGCTGGCGGTTGGCGGGTTGCAGGGGCTGGAGGGTATTTCTGTGAAAGAACAAGTTTAGCATAATTTCATAATGCATATTATTTTCTTGCAACTTACAATTTTCATTTTCATTGTACTATTGGATAGAGATAGATGTATCGTGACATAAACATATTGTATAAGCGGTAAATGAGCCGAACCGCCAAACTCGAACTTAAAAGAGTGTCGTTATTTCTCGAACCCTTGAACCGACAAAACCTTAAAAGAGCATGATGCTCAAGCTCGAACTCGACTCCTTTTTTTTTTTTTTTTTTTTTNCTCGACTCCTTAATTGAGCTCAAGTGCAACAAATTAGTCCAACTCCAAATTTTATTTTTCTCCTTGGTGTAAAATTTTCTTATTTTTTAAATTTTCAATACATAATTGTATAACTTCTTTCTCATGTTTTTGCTCCCTCAATTCTTCTTATGACTGGGATCTGAATTCACCATTTTAGCGACCGATCATGTTGACAGAACAAACTTCTACCAATAGCAAGATAATTCCAATATAAATTATACATACCCGAAATGAATTTTATTAATAAATTATTATTACAATTACAAAAGTAAAAGACAACAGTATAAGGCAACAACAATACATTATACACCCCAAAGCCAAAAACCCAAAAAAAATCCTGTGCAAGAATTCAAACATTACAACAACGAATCTCTCTCAAAAAAAGGAAAAAAATAAAAATAAAAAAATAGAACCTTCACATTCTTTACAAATACCTAGTTTTATTACAACTCACAAAATCCCCAATCTTCTTACACTTGCACCGAAATTTTTTCAACACCAATAATAATTTAGCTGTACGTGCAAGAACCGTGTTCGAATTTAATCGGCTTGTTGCTGGTCGAGTCCATTACTATCGGGCACGAAACTCTTTTACGATGCTTTGTCCTTACGAGCTTCCCCACAACATCTCCCCTTGTCTTGATTTGGAACTCCAAGTTCAGTGGAACTTGAACACCATTGTTTGTCATGACTAGATTTGATCCAGCACCATATAATGGGACCTTTGTTCCTTCTATATGCACCAACAGAGTCTTCCGGCTTTTCCGGCGTTGATAGTATTTTTTCAGCTTCAGAAAAAATATGAGTGAAAATAGATACTCACAAACTTCAGTTTAAAGATAAAATATATCAACAATTTTTTTTGATGCTCTAATTTGCAAGCTAGAAGAAGCACATGAAAGGGTCTCAAAGGTACCTGTCCAGTGGCAACAACTACGTCTGAGTAGACGAGATTGACAGGTGTCGCACTCACATGAATTCCGTAGAATGTAGCCGGATTGTACACGCCAATCCTCAATGAGCAGTTCACATTCAGCATCTTAGTTAGAACTCCTGTGAAGTCCGCACCTGAACCTACGTACATGTTGTTGACCGTCAAACTCTGCAGAGAGAAAGTTAAACTTGTTTAGCTGTGAGGGAAAGTTGTACTTAAACTTCAAAACAGGGACAATTTTAAAATTACCTCTGAGATTAAGCCTAACTCTAGTTCAAAATTACAAATTTTCAAGTGCAAGAATTGCAACCCTATTATCCTATAGGAGTATATATTGATTTGTTTGGTAGATACCAACATCGAGTGGACACTTTTCATAAAATGTAAATACCTAAAGGTCTTCTTTGCAAAACTAAGACAATTGGATCTTTTTGTAGTTAAGACTAAACCTCACATGTATATTGTATGCAATTTATTCCACGAAATAATAAAAATCAGAAAACAAATCAGAAAACAGAGCGAAATAGCAGAACAAACACCAAAAAACAGAACTAAACCAAATAAAAAAAAAAAAAAAANNAAAAAAAAAAAAAAAATCTTACCTTGACAGCAACTTCAGCTTTAAAAGGCCTCCCGGCACCCCAAATAATCAAACAAAACACCGTAAAAAGCACGAAAAACCCCAAAATCGCCATCAAGGCCTGGCACCTCCTCGTATATGCCTTCTCATCATCAAACTCGTCGTAATTTCCTTCCTCCACAATCACATTGCACTCAGGCCAACCCTTTTCGTTCCTCTTGCGGCCCATTTTTCTGCCCGAGGACGAACGAAAGATGCCCGAGAAGCGGCTGGCGGACGAGTTCCTCGAGTGGCGGCCGAACGAGGGGTGAGAGGGAGACTCAATAGGGCTTGCGAAGTTCGGAGTGGCGTGCACGGTTGATGACTTGTCGCCATCGTGCGAGTCTCGAGACGGGCTTTGGACATAGTATATGGCCCGTTTGGGGGATCTCGAGGGTGACGAGGCGGCCAAGCTTGTAATGTCGGATTCGGATTTCGTGTGCTGCATTTTCTTTTTTCTTTTTTTTTTCCCCTTTTTATGGTTATAAAATTTAGGAAAGTGGGTCTGGAGGCAGATGGGTTTGTGATGAGGCTGGTGAGGTTATGCTGATCTCAGCTCATAAAATCCCCTATAAAGACAAGATTTTTAATTTTTATTTCTTATGATTTTACAAACTAGAAGTCTTGGGAGATGAAATTATGAAAATATTCCCTATAAAGACAAGATTTTTAATTTTTATTTCTTTTGATTTAACAAAGTAGAAGTCTTTGGAGACGAAAATTGTGAAAATGGTAGTGGTGGAACACAAGAAAAATGAAGAATTAGATGAAATGGGCGGGGCATTTATCTTGGCTAAAATCAAGAGCAGCAAACATAAGTATACACTAAACAGACGTGCAATCAAACTAAAAGCAAACATCTTTAACATCAACAAGCAACTCGAACTGAACACCTTCAAGATAAAAAGCCCAAGAAACAAAATTTCAACAGCCCAGTACAAGTGTGTGAGTGCAAACACTGAGATTAAGAAGTAAAAATTAAACAGAAACTTTTTTTTCTTCCCGAAAAAATTGAACAGAAACTGAACCTAATGAATTAGAACAAACGGAATCGCGAAGCAATTTCTTAGCTACGAGCAAATTAAAAGGCAGTTAGGTCACAGAGATTCATACCAGAGACTGAAAGGCGGCCAGTGTGTGTACTGTGTGTACAAAATCGTGCACGCTGACAATTTACACAGAGAGAAAAAAAGGACAGTTTTTTCGGGGTTGATGACAGCAACTGGCAGATATAAAGCTCCTCTATGAGAACCACAGATGACACGTGTTTTGGGTAACCGAGGCTGACGCCGTGCCTGGCTCCGAGCCTGAAGTTGGGGATTTTGGTTCGGTTTTTGGGGAGTGAGTGTCGGCAGCCACCTGTCACTGTCTTTAGTGGTGGATCGGTGGTCCCTACTTTTCAAGATTTATTGTTATTGAATTTTAAGTGTGAAATTAAAAGTTGGGAATGTAGACAAGTAACCAAATCCCGTTCTTTAATTGCTGTCTGTTTCGTTTGGTCAGAGGGGTTTTTATTGCGACTTTTAAATAGAGTTGTTACTCATTGTTATAAAATCTATCTCCAATTAATTTTCCATTTCTTCTTTCAGTCCCTAGCCTAATTTTCATCAACTGCACTACTTACCCCTTAAATAATCTTGCACTTAATTTTCTCTTGTTAAAATAAATAAAAAATAAATGAACTAATGACATCACCCCATTACAACCTAATAGAACTGTCAAAACGGCCTGCGAATTGGATTGGGATTTTTTAGGCCCACTGGGGAACGGGCCTAAACAGGCCAACCCGCGCAGGCCAGGACGGGGCGGGCTAGCCCACGGACTAACCCGCCAATTATTAAAAAAAAAAAACAAAACAAAACAAAAAAAGCAAATATCCATCCAGTCCACCCTGACTTCAAATTTGGGCCGAATGAACATATTAGCCCACTGCCAACTATAATACAGAAGCCCAAGGTTCAATAAGAGTTGCAACTCCTCATCAAATACAAAAGCCTAAGATCCACTAACCCATTGAATAAAAAAGAGGCGGGCCTGGCCCGCGAAACCCGCGGCCTAAGGCGGGGACGGGCTGGGCCGGCATTTGTAGGACCGCCCCGCCCCGCCCCGCCCCGCATTTTGACAGTTCTACAACTTTAACATTACATATTATTTTATTAGTTTTCTTATACCTACCATTACATAATAATATTATTTGTTTTTCTCAATCTTCCCCACAAAAAAAGTCCTCCCTGTCTACCTCCCTCCCGTCACCTTCTCCGGCAACTCCCTCTTTTTATTTTTTTTTGCAGGTTCGTCCTCTGGCGACACCAAATCCGGCGAGAAGAACCCCGGCGGCAACAAATCCGGCCAAATAAATGATTCCAACGTCAAATTTCTGCGACAAATAATTCATCTTTTTCCGGCAACATTCGGCCGTTTTTTGGGTAAAAATTTGAAGTAATAAGTAATTTATGTATTATATGAGGATTTTGGAGTCCAAAAATCGTTTTTAATTAATATATTTTTGGTTAATTTGTTAAGGATTCTATTTTGAAAATTGTTGTTTATATTTACCTTAAACCAAATAAAGTGATCATAATTTCTTTTTTGTTGTTCATGTATACCAAATTTATGCTATTGTTAGGTTATATTAGGTATTATTCACCCTAAAACAAAAAAAAAGATGAGAATGATCATTGTACCACTATCTTTGAATATTTATTCACCCTGAAACAAAAAAAATAAGATGAGAATGACCATTGTACCGCTATTCTTGAATATTGTACCTCTGTTTCTATATATAATACCACTTTAATCACTATTTGGTACCATATGTGCTGGAAAATGTGAAGAAGTTTTGTTTTATCCAATTATTGTTAGATACATGGAAGGGGCACAAAGTGATATATTAGGGAGTTGTACCTACAAAAATCATTTGTTTGTGTTCTCTATGCACCTTGGATCAACACTTGACGAAGTGTACACTCTCATTGCTAAGAGGTGGCCGAATGTTAATTTTGAATCCGTCATGCTATGCTATATTGCGCCAAAGGAAAAAAAGAGAGTTAGTTTGTCCGATGATGAGGATGTGAAAAACATGATTTGGTTGCATATTTGTTGGAAAATAAATATTGCAGAGATACTTGTCATTGAAAGAATGGATGATGGAGTTCAATTCATCCCAATAAACATGAGCATGTAATGCTGCTTTCATAATATTAATGAATTATTATTAAAATATGGTATAGTCGTATCATATTCTAGTTTATTAATTTTTTAACTAGTTTCATTATTTATAAATCTTTGTATTATTTTGCCATGAACGCAGGGAAATCGTACTGTATGATGATTTCTCGAAAGGAGAATTTGAGTTGTTGCAAGATAATCGATCGATTTTTGGAAATTTTGCATCAAAAGAGAGGGGCAGATATTCAGTGGGGCCGATGAATTTCGAAAGCGTGTTAAAAACTACGCGATTGCAAATAGGCGGTCTTTTAAGTATCGGAAAAATGATAAGCAGAAGTCATTGTTTGTTGTAGCGATTAGGATTGTCAATGGAGAATATATACATCATTATACAAAGGTGATCAGTTGTTTGTCATCCGGAAGTGCAATCTAGTCCATACTTGTGGAGTGTACAATCTTCAGACAAGGGGCATCCGAAAGCAGACTCTCATTGGGTCTCAAGTACAAATTGAGAGATGAACCGAGTTACAGGCCTCGCACGATATTGAAATATCTTCACAGGGACTATGACTTGAAGTTGCCTTACAAAAAGGCATGGTTAGAGAGTGAAATAGCCATGTAAGATATTCATAGAGTAAACAGGGGCTCTTACGACAGATTGAGATGGTATTGTAGTGCAGTGCGTGAGACAAACCCCGAAAGCATTGTCGATTGTGTGATTGACCCTGTCGACAATAAGTTTCGCCGACTGTTCATTTGCTTTCATGCCTGTCTCGTTGGTTTTTTAACCGGTTGTCGATCTTTGATATTTTTGGATGACACCCACATAAAAAATAAATACAAAGGCTGTTTGCTTAGTGCTGTGAGTAAAGATGTCAATGACGATTTGTTCACTATAGTATTTACCGTGGTTGATGCCGAGATCGATGAAAATTGAGAGTGGTTTTGCTTGAAGCTGGATAATAGTTTTCTTTCCTCGCGCTTACCTGTTTCTAGAAGCTTCACATTTTTTACAGACCGTCACAGTGGGCTACTTTAATCCATCCCTACGATTTTTCCTGCCAACCATCATACTTATTGTTTGAAACACTTAGTCGACAACTTTAAGAAGCAATTAAGAAACTTAATTAATTTCTTTATATCTACATTAAATTTATAACAATTATTCATAATAAAACAGATTTATATTTTTATTATTCTGTTCATATATATTTATATTCTGTTTATATGGTAAGAACCAACAATCATGCTTATATAAATTATATATTCTGTTCATAATTATTTAGAATTTATTTTACCCACTTCATAATAAGAAACATTGGTCCTCGGTTTTTATGAAGGCTGTGTATGCTCTTAGAAGACAAGAATTTGATATGCATATAAATAATATATTAACTGATATGCCTATTGCTATGGACTTCATTAAGGATTCTAAGCCAGAATGTTGGGTGAATTCTTTATTTCGTGGAGACCGTTGGGAGATCATCAATAATAATCAAGTTGAATGTTGGAATCATTGAGTAAAATAGGCACGATTTATATCTATAGTAGCCATGGTGGATGGCATAAGGAAACAAATTATGACCATGATGCATGATTGACGTGAAGGAGTGTCACGATTTAATGGTCAGTTGTGTCCTAAGCTTGAAAAAAAAAATTGCATCTTACTACTGTGCTTCCTGGAATATCAAAATCATTCAATTGAGGTTTGAGGTTCTTGAAGCCGACAAAAGTCGTGACGTGGATTTCCAATCACGTACTTGTTCTTGTAGATAATGACAACTATCTAAGATGTCGTGTAACCATGCATGTGCTTGTGTTGAGAGTAAGTCAATGTCCGTCTATGATTTTTGTGATCTGTATTATCGTGTTGGGATGTATAGACAAGCTTATCAAGGTCCTATTAACCCTATACCTAACTATGACCATAATGTGACATCTTTCTCGTTACATCATGATGATCTCATTTGTGCCCCGGATGTACGACTTCAATCCGGATGCAAGAGGGAAAAAAGGTTTCCTTCACAAGTTGATATTACGGTCAGGCGGTGTAAGCATGTGGTGCTCTTGTCACGCCGATGATGATTGCTCTTTGCACGTACATCGATTATATCCACGACCGCCACAACGCTTACACCGCCTAATCGCAACATCAACTTGTGAAGGAAACTTTTTTTCCCTCTTGCATCCGGACTGAGGTCGTACATTTGGGACACGAATGACATCATCATGATGTAACGAGGAAGATGTCACATTATGGTCATAGTTAGGTATAGTATTAATATGACCTTGATAAGTTTGCTTTTATATCCCACCACGATAATACGGATCACAAAATTATAGACGAACATTGACTTACTCTCAACACAAGCACATGCATGCTTGCATGGCATCTTAGATAGTTGTCATTATCTACAAGAGCAAGTAGGAGATTGCAAATACACGCCACAACTTTTTTCGACTTCAAGAACCCAAACCTCCATTCACTTGATCGAATGATTTTGATATTCCGGGAAGCACTGTAAAAAGATGCAATTTTTTTTTTCGAGCTTAGGACACAACTGACCATTAAACCGTGACACTCCTTCACGTCGATCATGCATCATGATCATAATTTGTTTCCTTATGGGATCCACTGACCATTAAACCGTGACACTCCTTCACGTCGATCATGCATCATGGTCATAATTTGTTTCCTTATGGGATCCACCATGAATACGATAGGTATAAATCGTGCCGACTTTACCCAATGATTCCAACATTCAGCTTGATTATTATTGATGATCCCCCAACGGTCTCCAGGAAATAAAGAATTCGCCCAGGGTTAGAATCCCTAATGAAGTCCATAGCAAGAGGCATAGCAGTCAATATATTATTTATATGCATATCAAATTCTTACCTTCTAAGAGCATACTTAGCCTTCATAAAAACCGATGACCAATGTTTTCTTATTATGAAATGGGTAACTACTCAAAACCTCCAAACAAAATAAATAAATAAATAAATAAACAAAATTTATTAAATAATAAATAAATTCTAAATAATTATGAACAGAATATATTTTATATAAACATATAAGCATGATGGTTGATTCTTACCATATGAACATAATATAATTTACATGAAGAAAATAATAAAAATATAAATCTACTTTATTATGAATAATTTGTTATAAATTTAATATAAAGAGAATAATTAAATTTTTTACCTGCTTCTTAAAGTTTTCGACTAAGCGTTTCAAACAATAAGCATACGGCTGCCAAGAAAAACCGTAGGGATGGATTTAAGTAGCCCACTGTGTCCGTAAAAAACGTGAAGCTTCTAGAAACAGGTAAACGCGAGGAAAGAAAACTATTATCCAGCTTCAAGCAAAAAACTCCGAATTTTCATCGATCTCGGCATCAACCACGGTAAATGCTATAGCGAACAAATCGTCATTGATATCCTTACTCACAGCACAAAGCAAAAAGCCTTTGTATTTATTTTTTATGTGGGTGTCATCCAGAAATATCATGAGTCGACAACTAGTTAAAAAACCAACGAGGCAGGCATGAAAACAAATGAACAGTCGACGTAACTTATTCTCGACAGGGTCAATCACACAATCGGCAATGCTTCCGGGGTTTGTCTCACGCACTGCACTATAATACCATCTAAATCTGTCGTAAGAGCCCCTGTTTACTCCATGAATAACT